GTGCAACCTGACTAGGAGTTATTTAATGTCTCACATCTAAGATGGAGATGCCAGTAGTACTTGGTTCACAGGGATTAATTTTTCAACCTGCTCATTTTTGCTGTTGTTTTGTTTCTTTTTACAACTCTAGTCCATTCAAGAGGAATAGTTTCAAGAGAAATGGAGACACCAAAAGATGACACCAAGTTCAAATTCCTCTAAGTTTAGGATACTCCACCCTTTGCATCCAGTGCCATCCACGCATCATTTCCTCTCACAGTGTAGACTCCAGAAACATCCTACTCAAAAGTTGTCTCAGATGGAGTCACTGTATTCCTTCTCAGCACTCCCATTCCAGAGCAACCTCCCAACACTAATTGTTTTGAGACCATCCATTGCTCTTGCTTGGCTTTCCAAAAGGAAGGGCGATGCTGTCCAAGGGCTTTATCACAGGGAAGGAGGCACCAACAATAGCAATTAAAGCTGCTTTTGCTAACATTGCTTTATTGTAGAAATTTCTCACCAGAGGTAATTACCTAAGATACACTATATTTCCCTCTGCTTTGAGGTTAATTTGTTCCTTAATTAATTCTCCTTCTGGTCTATATTTATTAGGAAACTACTCTAGTGAGAGACAAGAGGCTGCCACCCAGACCACTATGCATAGGGTGTGAATTCACAGGGAAAGAATAGCCTTTGGCTGTGAATTGTGTTTATACTACAGATCTTGGTCTATGATAGACTTTATGGGATGGAAGGCAGAGGACAGATATTCCTAAAATATTAGCAAATGCTTTGTGACTACAGATTACTAAGTAAACTAGTTGAAATAAGACTCCTGACACATTTAGCTAAACCCAAGAAATGATTGTTTTAATGACACAATTTCCTTTCCAAATTACCATTAAATATGCCCCCCTTTCAATGAGTCAGTATGTACAAGGTTCAGTATTTCAATATAGAAAAAGCCATCCCTTATCAGTTTATCATGATGGAAGTCCATTGATTTACTGAAGTAGAGGTGTTTTTTTCTAATCCTTTGGGAAATGCAGGTGAGAACTAACCATGTTTTTCTAATTAGTGACTTGGGGGATTTAAGCACAATGTTCCCCCAAACACCTGCAGTTAAACTCCGAGCAAACACTGATACTCCAGGCTGTGTATCAGTAGGACTTCAAACACTAAAATTATAATGTCGCTATTTTTGAAAACACCACCTGGCATATTATGGAAATCCCTCTGTTACTAATGACAAAGTCTTAATTCCTGCCAACTCTTTGACTTCATATGCAATATTGGGGAAATGTAGCACAGAGAAAATACAATAGCAACAATACTTTCAAAAATGATGTTCTAAATGTAGATCAGACTTTATTTTTTTTGTTTTATTTATTTATTTATTTATTTATTGCCAAGTGGTCAGAAGGGCAAAACATCTTGAGATATTTGCTACCAATTACTACAGGTGAGTAGACCAGGTGTGCATCTGGGAACTCGGCAATGTGCCTGACATTTGGGTATATGTCATCTGGTTCCCAGGGATTCTCCATGGAATACAAACTCTCTCAAGACGACTGAACTCTCTCAAGGTAGAAAATGTGCAATAGAACACATGGTATACAGCTTTTGGAATTTTTCTATAAAAAGCAAGGTTTGATTGGCATTTAAGATGGACACATGAATTAATCACACATTGCCTTTGTTTACAAAGTAGTTTTTTTTTTTTTTTTTTTTTTTTTTTTTTGGTTTTTTCGAGACAGGGTTTCTTTGTGTAGCTTTGTGCCTTTCCTGGAACTCACTTGGTAGCCCAGGCTGGCCTCGAACTCACAGAGATCCGCCTGGCTCTGCCTCCCGAGTGCTGGGATTAAAGGTGTGCGCCACCACCACAAAGTAGTTTTAAAATATATCATTTCTATCAAATTTTAAACAACATAACAATGAAGGTAAGTTGGTACTACCCCGTGAATTTCATCTGCGAGAGTGGGCTATTTAACTCTCTTCAACAATTCGCTCTACAGCAAAGAAAGTCCTGTCTTCTCTCTTCTGAGTTGTCCACGGGAAGTTATTTTAACATTTATTTTAAAGTTCTTCAGCCTTCCCACAGTTTTCAACACTTGTCATAACTTATGACCCACTTCCTTTCAAGATGTTGACCAACCAAAGATACAAACCAAAGAATAGGTTTCTGAATAATTACTATCAACCAATTGAAATAAGTTTTAGGGAAGCTAATTTCTTCCTCTATAACCTTGATCTTGATACTTCCATTTTAGATCCTAAATAACATAGATCAAAATATCCGTAACGGCCTATGAAACCTTTGGCTCTCCATTATTATCCCCATGTCTTTACCAGCTCCTGTTCCTTTGAGGCACTGGCTCTCTGGTGACCTATCTGGTACGGGTAAAGCAATAGGCATTCTGCACTATGTGAGCTCTCTCCTGCCTAAAAGCCCTGTCCCTCCTGTCTCTTCCTGGAAAGCTCCCACTTACTTGAAGTTTCAAGTTCATCCTTCAGTATTATGACCTGCCTTATCTCATCTCATCTAATCTGCCAATCTAAGTTGCTCTTGGGTCTGTGCCTTATGCTTGTACCCCAGAATGTGATCCATGCTTATTTTTCTTTATCACCTACAAGGGTATAACTTCCTTGAGGGCAGTGAGAATGAAGGTGCAATTTTTTTTTAGAAAAATCTACATTTTAGAAAAATGCTTTGAATAGACATTATCTTTACCAACTTTAAAGTTTTTTTACCTTAGGCTAGTCAGTAAATTAAGTACTTCACATATATTGCTATTTAATCCCTATGTAACTTCATAAATCTAGGAATTACTGTTATTCCCTTTTGACAAATGATGAAACTGATGCCTCAACAATGCTGCCTAAGTTCACACAGCTAGTGAAGGAAGTAGCTGGGATCGGAGTATTGATTCAGTGCTGGGTACTGAAACGTGCCTGACAGCTTTGCTCAAATAATACAGTTAACAAAGAAATCCAGAATGACCAACAATACCATGTGTATCCCTCTTCCCTGAGCTAGTGCAGGACCTCAAACAGTATCCACTTACAAAAACATCAGGGTACCGCTCTCAGCTCCCCAGAGTTTTCACCTCTGGTTAGCAACCAGAAACGCTAAGAACACCTTTTTCTTCATGGTTGTATCTTTGTCATATCATTGCTGTGCAAGTAACTTCAGGGACTTCAGGAGAACACAGCTTAGGTTAACTTATGACTCTGTAAAATCTTCAAGAGACATTCCCCAAAATCAATACCTAAGGCACAAAAGGGTGTTTCTGACATGTCTTCAGGCAGTAAGTTTGTAAGTATAGCTGTTCAGCATAATTGTTAGATAAGATACCATAAGACCCCCTTGTTACTGTATGGAACCCAAACCAGTTCAGTTTCATGATTTCTCTTGAAAATTAACTCATGGAAAAAAGTGGGAACTCAAAGAAACAGATTCAATGACTCAGTGGGTTAAATGACTCCTTTTTATTATGTCACTACCTGCTAAGTCTGAGTGGGAAATAATTCTTGAGATAGTTCTGTGAAGATAAGGGAACGAGACAGACACTTTGGTGTGGAGTGGCATTGTCACAGGAGAAACCCTGACCCGTTTTCTGATGTCTGTCTTCTGAAATAATTGGATTTGAGGAATCATTATTGATCTAAATATCTTCTCCGTCTGATCAATAAGCCCTGAGAACGTGACAACAGATGAGCTTCAGGACTCATCAATCCGTTGCTTTCAAATGAGGGAGGCAAAGGCACATGATGGTCCAGATTTCAGACCACAGCTGCTCAGTGAGATGATTTCTGAGGACATTAAAGCAGGAATAAGGACAGTTGGGGGCATCTTTAAGGATCTTTTTCTTGGGATTTCCATGGACTGACATTGGGACTATGTCAAGATGGATAATGGTAAGAAGCATCTTTGACTCATATATTTCAGAAACCCTGGAATTCGAGCATGGGTGACTTTTACAGATTATACTGAGTAAATGAGCGTTCACTATACTATTATCATGTTATATGATTTCCTAAATTCAAATCAACCCTGGCCTTTTTATTCTGTTTTTTTTTTATGAAAAAAAATGTTTCCAGATGTGCTGCAGATAATATGGCCAAAAGAAAAAAAAATGACTAATCCTTTTTGTAATAACAGTATGATTGGCACCCTTTATGGGCAGCTAACTCATGTGATGTGAACAGCTTGAATTCCTCAGGCAGTTTCTCAACTATAAGCCACCTCCAGTTCCAGTTTGAAACACAAGCCGATCTGGTGTTTTGTGCAGCTAATAGTTTAATTTGATCTGTCTGAAAAGGAGGAGCACTGGGGTTTCTTAACCTCCCAACTTCTAGAACTTCTTCACCTGGCTACTGGACTGTGAGCTGGCAGATGGTTCAAAGTGCAGTCCTCAGTGGTTCTCTTCCAGGCTTATCTAGAAGCATTTAATTAAAAGAACTAAATAAAGCATTCAGCTCTGCATGTGTTGCAGAACAATTAAAGGTGTAGGCTTATTCTTAGAAAACAGCCCCAAAGAGATATGGACATTGAACAGCATCAGAACAAAAGGCAAACCTACTGAGGTTGTTATTGCTAGGACTCCAGATTCCAGAGACAGTAGCAAAGCTTTCTTTTTCAAATGTATATAGTTCAGTCCTGCAAATAGCATCTTTCTTGGAAGTGTCTGGTGCCTTTTTCCATCTGGAATTTTTGTAACTCAGCATAGGTCCACATAAAAGCCAGCTGCTGTTGTTCCCTTTAATATATCAGCACAGATTTAGAAGCCAGGGCTATGAAAGTTCTGAAAATAATTCTCATGGGGAAAAATCACATTAGTGGGTACTTATTTATACTAGACTCTAAAAGTGCATGGCGTTTTGTGGATTTTTTTTATTTCTTTGTTTTGTCTTTTTTTTTCAAAATGGCATTGTGTCAAGCAGAAGGCCTAGAGCTTGTGTGTGGCATGGATATATCAGGGAGAATCTGAGCAAACGGAATGACCACAGACTTGATGTGGGTGCCACAGGTGACTGAATATTTCCAATTGACATTCTCTTTTTTCACAGCATGAAAAGAACAGTAGACACCCTGAGTCTTTCCCAGAATTCACTTTCTTTTGTTCTTCATGATCTGAGTATCACCAAAATAAAGGCTGCCACCTAGAATAAAAAGAAATGCATCTCTGACATTGAAAATTGTCATGAGCTATAATTCCCAATAAATAAACAAAAGCTTGTAATGTTTTTATTTCTTGAATCAAAAGTAAATGTCAACATATTTGTGACTTACTAGGCTATAATGAAAACATAATTCTGACTTCTGGATAAATTCAAGGCACCAAAAGATGTGTGCTCCAAAGTAACATTGGATCTAAACTAATGTAAGCAGCTGGATGGGCCAGAGAATAAGGGCACTTGTCACCACGAAATCCAACAACCTGAGTTTGATCCTCAAGAGATACATGATTAAAGGAGAGAACAAACTCCTGAAAATTGTCCTCTGACCTCCATGCTTACATTGTGGCATGTGCACTCACACCCGTGTGCATGCCTGAGTATGCACACACACACTACAAATAAATAAGTGTAAAACAGGAAAATATACTGCATGTGGAAAGCTTTCTGATGTGAACAAGTGTTTAGATAGTAGTATCATTCCACAATTAGAATTGGTTGTGGAAAAAATAAAATTTTATGTATTCCCAAAGCAAGAATAATAAATGAAAAATTGATGTGACTACTTAGATATCTGTATACAATGCATCTGTTACCAGAGAAAGCTCACCTTGCCTGAAGACCTTAAGGTCAACTCATTTGGTGATACTTGTCTAAGGTATATGCTTATTTGAGGGCAACTTAAGTATATATGATTTTATTAATCAAACATCATGATAAAGCACTTAATTTGTTTTACAGTCTTTGGAGAACTGGTGTAGTGACAAACCCAGCTGATGTACAATTGGCTCCCTTTAGCCCGTTCATAAAGACATAATTTTGAGAAATTGATTTTAATGGTATGAAAATCTTGGCTGAAGATCTCTAAAGGTCTAAATAAATTCCTTATGCATCACTTTGTTTTGATTAAAAAAAAGAGAGAATACAATTAGTGAAGAATTTATACTTCATATCAGATTGTTTATTGGAAGTGTGTGACAGTAGCTTTATATTGCTCTCTGGATCTAACCTTTGCCTCCTCCCATAGATACCATCTCTGTCTTAGAAAAGATGATATGGTAGAGCAGAAAATTACCCATTCACTCATCAGTTCATTCAGTTAACAAACATATTGGAGCACCCCAAGGTCTGAGAGGCATTGAGGATATATTATCAGGGATTAAAAACGTGTATTTCCTGCCCCAAAGGTTTGATAAATATCACAGAATTTGCCACATTTCATTTGTGATATTTATAGGTTGATGATCTCATCCTCCAGGGGAAAACTTCACAGTAGACTCTAGGAAAAAAATCATTTTTATCACTGTAGATGGTCAGTCCACAAACAGTTGTTTATGAGGCCACTACAAAGTATAGCCAGATAAATTTAAAAGAATGCTTTTGCTTACAGGAAATGATTACTCATGCTCCTCAAGTAAAGGAGTTTAGGGCTTCAGAAAGAAAAAAACAAAATATCTTACATCATTCCAGCAATGAATTGAGAACTATTGACAATGAGTGCGGAACGGACTGAGTTGATCTGGAATGATAGAGTATAGTGAGAGGTCTCAGATTCCGAGGATCAAATCTAGTGTCTAGCACCTTTTTATACATTGTGCCTCAGTTCTTCAATATATGAAATAGGATAATGGCCTTTTCTACTTCATAAAATTATTGTATTAAGATATCATATACCACCACAATAAAGGTTAGCACAGCACAAAACCCCTAAAGGTGCAGTAGTGGCAGACATACCTTGGCAGTAACCAACAGCTCTCTAATTGGACTTCAAGCCAACTGAAAAGGGAAACCAAGCCAGAGTAAGCAAAGTCAAGGATCTTGGAGGAGAACCTACAATGATGACTTTACTAAACCATCATAATCCCTAACCACATTATAAACATTAGTCCTTACACACAGAGGTGTGCTCCTCACCCATCATCAAAGAACTCTTTGCAACAGACCATTACAAAAAAAAACCTCAACAACTCAAAACGCAGAGTCATTTTGTTCCAATGGACACATCTACAAAACACTACCACAACTAAGGCTTAGGGCACTTTGTGGAAGAAGGGGCAGAAGGACTGTAAGTGCCAGAGGACCACAGAGTTGGCTCTGAGATTATGGCTCCTAGTAATGTCAGAAGCTATATCCATAAAGTCTCCCTCACCAACATGACTGCCCAAACATGAGCTGAAGAAAGACAACCATCGATGTTGCAAAGTGGACACCAAAGTTGCAAGGCCTCAACCGTACACAAATAACTACAGGCAACTGAGGAGTGCTGAGAGTGGGGAAATTAGTCTTCTCTGGGGAAGAGCACACCAATTAGTTAAACATACACATAAGTAACACTATTCAGATTGAGCAGGTCATATATAGGAATATACATACACATACATATATGTATGGAATAACAATTTATAAAAAAAGAGGCCATGAATTTGAAAGAGAACAAGGAGGGGTGTATGGAAGAGTTTCAAGAGAGGAAAGGGAAGAGAGAAATGCTGTAATTATAACCTCAAAAATGAAAAACAAAAAGAGATAATACATCTCCAACAGTACAGGAGCTGGGACAAAATGTCAGGACTGGAAAACATGCTACTGGTCTTAAGACGTTTCCAAAAATGAGTAGAACAGGAACTTAGAGATCAGGAAGACGAGAATGGCTCTCTATCCGCTTCTGACAAACGCAGAACTGAATCTCACTAGTCCGTCTTTGACCTAGAATTTAGCCTATGTGGACCACTACCTTCAACTTTCATTTTGTACTTTTATTTTTCCCAGTTTTCATCACAAAGAAAGCTCGACTTGCCTCATTTAAGTTTAAACCCAGAAACTTACATCTCAGCTGATGAACGTCCCCTTGTTTGCAGAAAGGGAGCCTTATCCTCAGCAGAGAGTGGGCTTCACCATGGCTTTTCTATCTGTTGGCTGTGTACATTTTGAAAGTCACTTCCCCTTATGAATGTCAGTCTCTTCACCTGAAAGATAGAAGTTTAGATCATCTTCATAATTCCTTCAGGCTCTAACAATGCAATGATCTTGAAGATTATTTCTATTTTCGCAACAGCATTCATGAAAAAAAACTTTAATCTTACTTAGATACTATATACACAATTTCTTCCAAGCTGCTCTCAAGCTAGGAATGGTGATACATACTCAGAATCCCAGCATTTATCAGGCTGAGGCTGAAGGATAATTCATTCAAAGATAATGTGGTGACATAGCAAATTGGAAATCAATTTGATATACATAGTGAAACCCTCCACAAAAAGAAAAATATCTGCTTTGAATACATTTTAAATTTTTGCCTTGTATATATTTAATTTGTTGTCCAACTTCTATCACTTGTCCTTTTCCACAAGATGCCAGGTAATGTCATTAATGTTTTGTTGAAGTCGTGGCCCTCCATGGTCCTCCAGACTACTATTCTTCTTCAAAAGATTCAGATAAAGCCGAAAGTGGAATGTACTCTTACTGAGCCCATCCTGACTTCCTAATAATTGCTTCACTCATTTCTAAGTGTCTGCGCCATATCTGTTCGAAAACTGGAAACTAGAAAATTACTAAAACCATGCCTGTAAATTTATGTCCATTTTTCTTTTATGTCTCCTGAATTTGCCATTCTTCCTCTTCTATCACACTTTAGTCCTTCCACTGTGGATTTACTAAAATAATTCCATAATTTAATCTTCGTTTTCACAATTTATTGATCGCTGCAAACTCAACATGATTTTATGAGCTTTTCTTACATTCTGGAGAGATTTGGTGCAAGGTAAATCATCCATATTATTTTTATTTGTATCATCATTTCCATGTTAGAATATATCTTTATTGAGAAGAAAGAAAGAGGGAATAATATTGTCATCTATTTTTAAAGACAGGATCTCTTTATGAAGGCCACACAAGCCTCACGCCCCATACATACTTCTTCGGTCTCAGCCCACCCAGGTTCTGTGATTACAGGCGTCCATCACCATACTCAGCCATTGTCTTGTATACTTATGGAATCAACCTCTGCAGCCATTAGCTCTTTTCGACCTGCTGTACCTTCTCCTGAAGGACAAGTCAAAGCAATAACAAAATCCACTTCCATTTTCATATTCTGTTTTCTCCTGTCTGCACTCCTCATGAGTTCATGCTCAGCTTCACATTGAGCGCAGACATGCTCCCAACTCACCTGTTCCCCTCATCCCTTAACCTTAATCTTCTAGTGCATCCCATCAACCAGTGGGACCTGGGGGTTATCGTCTCTCTCTTTTATGGAGACTATATTGTACAAATTGTTTTTAAATCCTTCTTTCTCTCTTAAACTATGTTGCTTAAATAATTTCTACCTATGCAAAGCACAAATCTTTTAAAATACTTTTGTCTAAAACATGCAACTAGATCGTGGTTTTCCTCCCTCCCCTCTTACTAATAATAACATAACAGGGTAGCTTTCTTCCAAATTTCACACCACTTCCCCATCCTTAGAAGATTCTTCCTTTATCACTCAAAATGATGTCCAGTGTAGGAGTTTTCCTTACTTCTTCATGCTTTCCCCAAGAAACCATATGGCCAGTTAGCAAATCAAGGATGTTTTAAGTGCCCAAGTTTTCAATAAATGAGAGCGAGAACTTAGCTGACAACAACCTGGACATCCCCCAACCCCAAATTTTAAATTTTACATTAAAAAACAGGCTCAGAGGGCTGGATAGACTGCCCAGTGGCTAAAGCACTTCCTGCGTAAACAGACACCTGAGATTGGATCCCGAGAATCCACATAAAGGCAGGTGTGGTAGCACATGTCTGTGACCTTAGCTCTCCCGTGCAAGATAGGAGGTAGAGACATAAAAGAACCCCCAGAAGCCCGTGTTCATGGAAAGGCAGAAGGTGAGCACCTTCCCCTAATGTTTCCTTGTACCTCCACATATGTGCTATGGCTGACATGCATTTGCATTCACACACGAACACACACACACAAAGAAAGCTCCTATTGACAGCAGGTAGATAGTGGATGATATCCTCTCTCTTGTGATCTCCCTGGCTGAACTTCTCCACACTCCAAGCCTCAAAATGATGGCCGCACAGTAGAGGTAGAGGGGAAGGTAGAGGAGAATAATCATGGCACTGGAAGCCAAATGCCTGGTTTTGCATTTTGATTTTCTGCTACACTCTAATTGCAAAACTATGAAGACGTTTCATAAGTTCATAGGATTCATTTTTGAATGTTGAAATGAAGATAATATTTACATCAAAAGGCCTTTGTAAATTCCAAAAAAGAAAATACATGTGTGGATTTACACACACACACACACACACACACACACACACACACACACACTCATTATAAATGGTAATTCATTTTACAAGAAAATGGATCCATAAAAATACACAAACCAAATTTTGGATATTGTTCTCTAAAAATAAGATTAGACTGAGGTGGGGGGGAGAAAAGTGATTAATAATCTGCCTTTTGTGGTATCTACTTATAAATTTAGAATTATTACTTTTATAACTAGGGAAACTAATTTTAGAAGAACAACTCACCATAGTAAGAGTATTTCAATACTTTATCATTAATTTGTTGTAAATGTGCTTATAATGTAATTCTGAATAGAATTACTTTATAGTATTGCTCCACGCAGTTCAATATGGATGACATATTGACATTGTACTTACAAGAGCTCCATCCTTACATCTTAACTCAAAAACTATGCCTCCTTTTTCTAGAGTTAGCGGTAGCTCCCTTAAACACACATGCACAGGGGCGTGTACAGCCATAGTAAAAACAAGGGCAATCATCAGTAGTTTACTCTAGTTCACTGCTTCCCGAGCAGGCTTCAGCTCACTGTACCTTTTCCCAGTACAGAGAATGTTCATGCCGCCATCATGCTGGAGCTAACACAATCTCTTGTGCAGCTTTTCTTAATTTTACATTGTTCTCAGACATTCTGGAGAGGCAGACAGAATGCCATAGGATCTAGCAGTGAAAAGACAGGAACATTTGTTTTCTTGAACACTTCCTTACCCTTTTGGGAGAAGAAATTTTTAACAGCTTAGGAACTGCGGTTCCTCACTTCCAGGAAATAATGCCTCTGGGTATTTTTTGTTTGATTTCTTTCATTTTATGTCTCCCTAGAGGGTTCGGGTTCTGGTGACTAAAACTTGAAGATAAGAAAAGTATTGCCTCAAGAAGAAATGGCCTTTCTAGTGCTACCCAGAAACTTTACAATCAGGTCTCTGCACAGAAAGGGATTGCATCACCACGGCTGCCATAGTACCACATAAGTCCAGTGAAGTCGGGTACTAGGTGTAATGACAGTACCAGTTCAGGGCCATCTGCCCTTGCTCTCAGCCTGAGTAAACCAAAGGTGTTCCTGTGTTCTGATTAGTCAGTGTAGGCACATCATTCTGTCCTTAGCAGAGAAGAATTACATTCCACCTATTCCTCCAACCAGTTGCTTCCACTTGAGGTTTTTATTTCTCCATTATTTGATGTGTCACGTCTCAGATTTTCCAGCTGGAGTTAAGTGAGAGTTACTGGAATTGGGAAAGATTTTTGATTGCGCTGACTGTATCAGTGTTATTTTTAATAGCAGGCCAGATCTCCACTAACATGCTGTGTAGCTGTGTGTGAACCTGGTTGTTGGTTCCCTTGCTACACGAAATGGGTATTAATCAGGACTCAGATGTACGTTGCTTCATGTTGCTTCTGTGGTGCTCAGAGCTCCCCATTTCAAGCTGATCTCCCCCCATGTCATATGTAAACACAAAACTTCACTTGCCAGAAGAAAATTTTCAAAGTACCTAAACTTATACCAGTATATAGTCTTCCTAAATACTCGACATGAAAGGTTGTATAATTTAAAGACAGACCTTTCAGAAGCCAGGAAGAAAAAAAACCTTTTTGTTTTGTTTTGTTTTGTTTTTTGAGACAGGATTTCTCTGTGTAGCCCTGGCTGTCCTAGAACTCATTCTGTAGACCAGGCTGATCTCAAACTCAGAGATCTGCCTGCCTCTTCCCCCAAGCACTGGGATTAAAAGCATGCATCATCATGTATATCTTATTAGATATGCATATAATCTACTTTAATATGTACAATTATATATTTTTAAAACACTTTATGCAGTACTCGTTGATAAACTAGGAGCACTTTCTCTTTTTCTCCTACAATAAATAAAAATAGTGAAATGTTGATAACTGACATAAAAAATTTAAATTTTCTACTCAGCATAGGCTTTAAATATTTCAAAGTACTCAATCATCCTTAACAATACCATCAATACTTCTTCACTTGATTTTTAACTAAAAAGACGACAAGATGAGCATATCTGCATGCTTTCCTTTTGCAAATTTTAAGAAAAAAGAAAGCAAGGAAAAAGTTACCATAGTTTCAGAAGTTTATCAAATTATATACCTAAAATTTTGAATGATCTGAATAGAATTTAAGTAGAATTGAATTTTTTTTTCTTTTGCTTAACCTAGATAATAAATGTCTAATTTGGACTGTCCATGTGGCACTCAGTTCCCAAATTAAACTCTTTCAGAGACTGCCATTTTTAGCGAAAGAGGGGGAAGCGAGAATGAAACACCCGGACTCTTTCCATACAACCACAGCCAAGTTGTCTGAAAACTGAATTTGGCCACTTCACTGTAGTTCATTGTCTGCCTGAGCTATAGCAGAACCTCGGGAGCTTAAAACAACCATGTTCAGAACCTCTGAACAGATTTCATTAGACTAGAGCAAGGAGCTTAAGAAGGTCCAGCTGCGGTGCCCTTTCATTTTTTACCCGGCCCTTCCCTGCTTGGACTGGCTCCCTAATGTCTAAATGCGGTACCCAGGAAAGCATCTGGTTAAGGTCTCATGTGACCTCAACATGAAAAGAAAGCTGCTATCAGATGTGAATGGTGTAAATATTTCTTGTGCACAGTCATTTCCTTGAGTTTTTCTAAAAGATGCTTCCCTTGTCTCCCTGCTCAGGTGGCAAACCTGCT